GTTACGTTGTGATAGCGATGCAGAATCGGTTTCGCGAGAAGACCCGAGCCGTTTCGTCGTTCGGGAAGACACGGTCGCCGATGTGGCTTGGGATCAGGACCTGCCCGATGACCCCGAGGCGGCATTACACAGGAGGAGGACTCGTCCTCCGGTTATGGACGAGGCCGGAGGTTCACGTTGGGAGGACGCGCCCAAGCGGGATGCGCCCGAGCCTGTTAATGCCCCCGCGGTGAAAGCAGAGGAAGTTTTTTACGATCCTGTGGAAGCTGCGAAACTGCTCCAAATGGCCTTGCAAGATATAGCGGGTCCTAAGAAGAGAAATCGAGCCAAGAAAGTGAGGAAACCCGACCCTCTGGGCTCCACTTTACGTACGGATGATTCCCTTCGGGATCTTAGGGCTAGGTTTAACTTTAGCGAGGGGGTTGAAATGAGGCTCCTAACTCCGAACGAGCGGGCAGATAATCCTCCCGAGGGCTTCTTCACCCTTTACGAGGGATTCTTCTATCACTGCTATCTTTGGCTTCCAATCCCGAGGCCAATTCTGGCGTTTCTATGGTCGTACAAGATTGCCATATCTCAGATTACGACCCGAGGTCTTCGGCACCTTGTTGGGATTCTGGTCCGAGGTATCGAGTCAGATAACAACATCAACCTTGACCATTTAAGGAACCTCTTGGAGATCAGACGCATCCAAGGTCCTTTAGAAAGGTTCTACATATCTCCTTGGGTGAATAGGAGGGTTATCAGTGGATTCCTGAGCAAAGATGAAAAATATACCGATAACTTCTTTTTTGCTGCTGTGAATGAATATAGTGTCCCCGAGGACTATCTAGGAATGGTTGTTGGGAAGTGGAGGAAAATTGGTATTGTACCCGGAGTCTGTGTTCATTATTTTGCTTCGGGTTAGCCTTTTTTTTTAACCGTGTTCTTGTTTTCGCAGATCGGAGCCCGAATTTCCTTGATCGCATCCCCGAAGACCTCCTAAACTTGCACAGCGAGCTAATAGCTCGGAAGTGTGATTGGACAAAACACTTCTCCCGGGACAGGATCGAGAGAGCCTTGCGGTTACTGCACGGGGCTCCCTGCCAATCTTCCTCAGAATCATCGGATCATCGTCTGTCTTATCTTGCCGAAATGCAAGGAACCGTCCAATCTCTAAGGGCGAAAAAGGCTGTTGAGAAGAAAACGGCCAAGGAAAAAGCAACTTTGGAGGCGAATTTCAGGCCGCCTACTCCTCCCGAGGCTGCTACTGATCTTGAGGTCGCCAACGCCGAGGCGACTGAGGAGGCTCATGATGTTGTGGCCCCTATTGACCCCGAGGCTGCGGGTAACGTCTCCCCGATCACTGAGGTCCCCGAGGCAACGAGGGCCTTGGCTGCTACTGCTCCGATCCCTGAGGAGAAATCCAAAGGGAAAGAAAAAAGATCCCGTGGTGACGGGTCAGGGGGCCGTAAGAAGGCGAAGAGGAGTCGTAAGGAGCCTCTTTTCTACAAGGATAAGGTCGCCTCGGCGAACCTTATCGCGTTTTGCTCAGATCCACCGCTGCCAGCTCCCGAGGCCTTGCTGGAGGCCGAGCGCTATTTTGAGACGGCGACGGGATTTCTTAGGGTGAGTGGTGTCATACTGTTCTGTCACTCTTGTTTTGGGTGGATTTTTAACTAGGTTCTCTGTTTTAGGCCTTCACTTCAATGAACTCGATGGTCCGCGCCTACGACTCTGCAACTCGCAAGTGCGAGCTGACTAGGGAGCAGCTGGAATTGGCCCGAGCCGATGCGGAGTCCAAGATCGCTGAGGCGAACGATGGCAAAACAGAGGGCCGAAGCGCTGGCCAAAGCTGAGAAGGTTGAAAGGCTTAAGGCAGCGGAGGACAGTCTTTGCATTCGGAGGAAGCTTGAGGCTGAGATCGAACGCCTGAGGAGACTGTTTTCCGAGGAGAATGCTCTCCGAGAAAAAGAGGTTGCGAGAGAGCGGAAGGCCGCCAAAAAGGAGTTCGCCAAGAAGGTCGGAGCTATCGAGGCAAAAATGGACCAGTACGGAAAAGTGTCCGAGCGCTACATGTTTTTGGTGCATGCGCGGGCCAATGCCGAGCTGATAGCTGATCTTGAGGAAGGGAGGAAGGTGGAGGACGAGAAGAACGAAGTCCTTCAATGGCAAGCAGAGTACGGGGATGCCGAGGAGGAGTACGTCCGCCTTGGGACCGAGCTGCGGGAGGACCTGAAGCTTCCCCCGGCTTCCCCGGACTCTGTCAATGATAGCTTCGGGAACAGATTGATCGAGGGCGTCGCAGCCGGGGTAGGTGTTACCGACCAGGCGGGCACGAACCAGGATTCCGAAGCAGCCCAAGTCTCACCGGTTAGGCAAGTCGCGGTCTGATCCCGAGGCGTCTTTCCTCTCTTTTCTCTTCTCTTTAGAATTTTTGTAAGACTTATGACTGGATGTCTTTATCCACCCGAATATGAATTATCTTTTTTATTTAAGTACTTTCAGAAGATTTCACCTTTTCGACGCGTTTAGTAGCTTGGCTGTTTTAAACCTTCCGAACTGTTTAATTTTCCGAGCTAAAAAGCGAATTGTATACCAGTGTCAAGGTAACTGGGTTTCCGTGAGTAGGACTTAATCGTTTCGGTTGCGACCCGATCTAATTTTGTCGATGAATACCCAGCGCTTAGGAGCGAACTGGGGCACCAGTGTCAGGGTTAACTGGGGTTTCTGAAGACTATTTCGTTTTTGGTCACATATCTCTGACCAGAATGTCTCGAATGCTTGTATAGCGCGCTGTAACCGAAGTGGTGAAAATGTGCTTAGTTCGCGTTCGTGGCCATCGCTCAAACGAACTGCAAAATTTAGAAGGGAATAACCATAGCAGGTTCCCGAGGTAAATTTTTGGAGTAAAGACCGAGGTAGGTTAGTAAAACCCGAAGTGTATACTTAGACTATCTACATTGGTTTTGATTTTACAACACCCACTTTTTTCTTTTTAACATTCCACATCATCTTCTCTCTCTTCCACATCATAATTCAACACCTATATAATTTTTACTCTCTACAATAGTTTTGTTTAATAAAATTACAACACCTTACCCCACAATTTTTCTTTTCTTATTTTTCATTTTATTTATGTTTAATTTTTTTTGTGATTACATATTATTATTCACAGTTATTATCAAATGAATCTAAAATAAGTAAAAAAAAAAAGATTATAAGATAATTTTTGTTTTTATTTTATATATCATTTTATTTTATTTTATAAATAATAAAAACGAGAAATACAAATAGTCGTTAATAAAACACATACATTGATGAGAAACTTAAAATGCAATACAATAAGCACACAACACAAGTAAGGAAATACTCATAACTTAATTAGTACAATAATCTCAACTCACAAACTTATAAATCTCATTCACCACCAAACATTCCCCTCTGTGCCCATATGTGTTTGACTAGATCTGCTTGAAGTTCGTGATGTACATTTGAATCACGCAAATCGGATCTAGCACGCACATGATTTGCAAATACGGGTAGCACTTCGGTCGAAAATGGTTGTTGTGTACTAGACCCACTTGCCTCAGATTGATCATAATCATTCCAATGTTGAGCATATGTCTCTCGTTCATCCTCAACAATCATATTATGCAATATGATACATGACCTCATGATGATAGCCAAATCGGTTATGTCCCACATGCGAGCTGGTTCACGAATAATTTTAAATCGAGCCTGCAACACTCCAAATGCACGTTCAATGTCCTTGCGACATCCCTCCTGACGTTGTGCAAATAACTTGTCTTGTTCACTTTGAGGCAGCCTAATCGATTTAACGAAAGTGGGATAAGAAGGATAAATACCGTCAGCTAGATAGTATGCCATATCATATGGACGTTGGTTCACGAAGAATTTGACTCTTGGAGTATTTCCCTGTTCAACATCATCAAAAACCGGTGAACGGTCTAGAACGTTTATATCGTTCAAGGTGCCGGGACATCCAAAAAAAGCATGCCAGATCCATAGATCATGAGATGCCACTGCTTCAAGAATAACAGTGGTGGTTCCCTTATCGCCTCGGGTAAATTGACCTTCCCACGCCGTAGGACAATTTTTCCATTCCCAGTGCATGCAATCAATACTCCCAATCATCCCCGAAAACCCTCGCATCTCACTAACACGCATAATTCTCTGCAGGTCATCTTGAGTTGGGGCTCTGAGATACTCTTGTTCATACAGTCGTATGATTCCTTTAAAGAATCTTCGCAAGCACTCCAAAGCAGTAGTACCTCCAATTTTGATGTATTCATCCACTGCGTCGGCTGCCACACCATATGCTAACATTCGCATGGCCGTAGTACATTTTGCTAATGGAGATATACCTTCTTTCTTAGCTGCGTCAAATCGTTGGGTGAAGTAGTTGTCGCTGCTTGATAGGTCTCCAACGATCCGAAGGAAAACATGTTTTCGCATCCGGAATCGCCGACGAAACATTGCATCGTCATATGTAGGTTGATTGGTAAAGTAGTCGTCAATTAGTCTTTGATTTGCTGCCTGCATGATCTCTCTTGAAGTATTTTCTCTTGCTACGAGGTGGATAGTCTTCTTCTATTTTGTTTCGGCGCTCTCTAAACCGGTTGATGATATACCTCTCTTCAATTTCAGACTGCTTTTGGTAAGCTTCGATATCAAAAGGATATTCTGATGGATCCATTGAGATTTTTTTTAGTAAGATGAGATTTGTGGTATTTGTACATCAATGGAAGAAAGAGTCCCTATTTATAAAAAAATGGTTAGAAGATTGGATGCGAATTGAGTGGTTGAAACCGAAAAGACATGGATAAGGATAAGATTCTCTTATTAAAAGCCAAAACTCACGGATTACATTATTAAAGCAGAACATGACAATACAAATTATTAAAGGAAGAAAGTGACAAACACACATTATTAAAGCATGACGAAACAATACAAATTATTAAAGGAGACAATGACAAACAAACATTACTAAAGGAGAAAATGACAAACACACATTATTAAAGCATGAAGTGACAAGCTACAAATAGCCACTTGACAACAATTAATTTCCAAATAAATCGTGGCTCAGCTTCTGCAATAGCTCTTTGCCCTTGTCGTCGAGATGTTCCTTTTCAGTTAGCTTGAGATACATCTTCATCTTCTTAGCCTGGGTCTTTTCCTTAATCAACTCGTTTGTCTCCCTTTGCAACATGGCTATGTTGTTCAATCGAGCCAACTCTTGCATCTTTAATTGTTTGAATTCATTCCATTCTTCGTTTACCACTTCCAAGGCTGCACCCTTACCTTTCTTTTTAGCCTTTTTCTTAGCAGCATCCCTCCCCATTGGACGAGTACTAGATCCTACAGAGTTGGTGTCACTAGCATCACTCTCGTGGGCTCTCTTAGATCCACTGCTTCCAGAGCCAGTATTTCCTCCTACTTGACTACCATAACGTGGTTGATCACGGATTGCGAGCCACTCTTTTATATATTTGAAATTTCCATTACCAGCACTTGAATATAGTTCATGCGCTTTCGCCAATACATCATCCTCCGACCACCCGCTTCGTTGCATGCGTTTAGCGTTATCGTAAGCGCCAACCCATTTGCCCAAGCTTTTGTTCACGTAGTTGTAGTGATTTCTACACGAAACTCCATCGCGCGGAGTATCAAATGAGCCATGCTCATTACAGTACTCAGCAATTTTACCCCAATATGAATCTCCTTTTTGGTTTCTGTCAACGACACTATCTGTTCCATATTTTATCCACCCACTCAGTAGCACCAAATTTTGTTCAGTGGTCCATTTGGAGCTTCTCGGACGAGCAGGAGTTGAATCTTCTTCATTTGGAATGGTTTCATGAACATTGCTCATACCACCAAGAGCCATTTGTGTAGAAAATTCAGGAAATTCAGTTGCTCCAACACTTGTATTAGTTTCATTACCCATTGGAGCAGAAGAATAAGAGGGTGCTTGAGATGAATACGACATCATCGATCCATGATATGGATGATAGTTTGGAACAGCTGACGGCATGAAGAAATTTGGTGGATATCCATAATTTGGTATATGCTGGGGATGGTTGGGAGATTGATTTTGAAACTGAAAATTGTTGAGATTTGGGTAGTTAAAAGGGTAATTAGAAGAATTTTGAGAGCTAAAAGGGTTATTATTAGGATCCATTTCAGTAAAAGACGAGTAAAACAATAAACAAGAGTTTATGAAGGTTGATAACAAAAATATAGTAAAAGAATATGGTTTTTTTTTATGTCTCCAAATGAAGTGAAACAAGTCTCTATTTATAGAGTATGAAAAATGATGAATTTTGGTATAAAAAAAAGTAATATAAAATTTAATATCTTATGAAATAATTGATCTCAAATAATTGAGTGGGATAAGAAATACATAAATCTCAGTATCCAATAAAAACAGAACACGTGTCATTATCTATATATTATCATATAATTAAAAAATTCACCCACTCATTGATTGCCACGTGGCATTGTGAGCCCCATAATTTTGGTTCAACAGCGTTGAAGAGTTTCAACTCTGTTTACTCCACGTCATTTCTTTTTTTTTTACAACACACCATTGTAATTGATTCAGCAGTTGAATAAATATTTCAACTGTTTTAAAAAGCACCATTGTAAGTAGTCTTAGGAATATAGTCCGTAAAAAATTGAACGGGAGTATAGGAATCGAAAGATTGGTAAAATTTTGAGTGGGAGTATGGATATACGGACCACACTCCTCCCCCTTTTTGAATAAGGGGGGTTAGCTGAACTCGTCCGAGGACGAGCTTCCTACGTACCCTTTTCAGGGATCAAGCCACCCCGTAGTTCAAGTGTTCGCGTACCTCAGTGTTTTAACGGTACTACCTCCTTAGATGCATGGCATTCCAGGACCTCGGTATCGTTTTACCGTTCATGCTGGTGAGTTCGTAAACGCCGGGACGGACGACCTTTGATACTGTGTATGGTCCTTCCCAATTCGCACCGAGTTTTCCTGCGTTTAGCTCGGCAGTATTCTGAAAACGGCGATGTTTGACGTGAGAGTTGTAGTACCGAGCCGTTGCATTCTGGTAGTTCTGCATACAGACCAAAGTCGAATCTCTTCTTTCGTCGATCAAGTCCAGCTCGTCCAGCATCATCTGAGTGTTGAAATTTTCCTGCTCGGGGAGTAAACGTCTTCTTATTCCCAGGATCTCGGCTTTGGTGGGAATCACGCACTCCGTGCCGTAGACAAGGGCGAAATGTGTTTCTCCCGTGGCCCAACGCGGCGTGGTTCTGTGCGACCATAGTACTCCTTCCAGTTCATCGGCCCATCGGCCTTTCTTTGCGTCGAGGCGTTTCTTTAGTCCATCGAGAATCATCTTGTTTGCTGCTTCTGCCTGTCCATATCCCTGAGGATACCGAGGCGTAGATTTGCTGAGGAGAATCCCCCATTTCTCGCACAATCCTTCGAACCGAGCCGAGATGAATTACGACCCATTGTCTGTGACGATTTTGTAAGGTATTCCGTGGCGGCATACGGTGTTCTTCCAGACGAAGCTTTCGACCTGTGCGTCTTTGATGCTGGCATAGGAGTCCGCCTCGATCCATTTGGAGAAGTAATCTGTTAGTACGAGGACGAGCTTCTTCTGCTTGGAGTTGTGTAGAGGTCCGATAATGTCCATGGACCAGCGCATGAAAGGGTAAGGCGAGGTGATGGAGGAGAGGAGTTCGGCGGGTTGATGAATCGTTGGTGCGTGTCTCTGGCATTTGTCGCATCGTTGAGAAAACTTCTCGCAATCTTTAACCATTGTGGGCCAAAAGTACCCGTGGCGTTTGATTTTTATGGCTAGGGTTCTCCCGCCAGAGTGATTTCCATGACCCTCCGAGCTTCGGTTCCTTCAACACAGATTAGCAAAGGTCCGGAAAATCGCCATTTAAAGAGTTCTCCGTCGAGTAGGGTATACCGAGCCGCTTTCGCCTTAAGTTTCCGAGCTGCCCATTTTTCAATAGGGACTTTTCCATCGGCTATGTAGCTTCGGATAGCTCCGATCCATTTGGCGTCGCTTCCATATTCGGACTCGGTTACGTCCTCAGTTTGCTGGTCTGGTGGTTCGGTATCCATTTCTTCTAGGTTTTCAGTCTCCCGAGCTGTGAATACTCGGTCCTCGCTGCCATTTTCAATACTTGGCTTTTCAATGAACTCAACCGGTATGATTCTCCTCAGGTTCGGATCGGAGGTCGAGGCTAGAGCTGCTAAGGCATCGGCTGATGTGTTCTCGCCTTGTGGGATTCTGGTTAACTCGAACTAGCCGAACTGTTTCGCTAGGTCTTGCGTGAGGGCTAGGTATGCTTCCATTCGTTCATCTCGAGCCGTGTATTCTCCGTTGAATTGGTTGGCCACGAGCTGGGAGTCGCAGAAGGCTCGTAGCTTTTTGATCTTAAGTACTCGAGCCAGCTTCAGCCCGGCTATCAGTGCTTCGTACTCTGCCACGTTGTTGGTTGCATCGAAGTTTAGCCGGAAAGACTGTTCGAGAATTTCTCCTCCTGGAGACGCTAAGCGAATCCCGACGCCAGAGCCTTGTTTTGAGGACGAGCCATCGACGTGGAGGATCCAGACGGCGTCGGGCGAATCTTCCCGATAATTTTCTGGTGGCAGCTCGATGATAAAATCTGCCAAGACTTGGGATTTTGCGCACGTCTTGTTTCTGTACTCGATATCATATTCGCTGAGTTCTATTGCCCATTTGGCTAGACGTCCTGACTGGCTTGGACTGTGCAAAATAGCGCGGAGCGGTACAGGCGCCATGACGACGATTGAGTGGGACTGGAAATACGGTCGTAGTTTCCGAGCTGACATTACGACGACGAGAGCGAGCTTCTCAGTTTGTGGGTAGCGTGTTTCCGCATCGGTGAAGGTTTGTGAGACGTAGAAAATTGGTTTCTGTTCTCCCCGGTCTTCTCTGACTATGACCCCACTGACTGCTGTGTCTGAGACGGCGATGTACAGGAATAATGGCTCGTCCGGGACTGGTTTTGCTAAGACCGGTGGATTAGCCAGATACTTATTCAGTTCCTGGAAAGCTTCTTCTCAACGATCGGTCCATTCGAACTTTTTATTCAAGCGCAGAGTATCGTAAAAAGCCAGACATTTATCAGTAGATCGGGAGATGAATCGGTTCAGGGCTGCGACTCTTCCGGTGAGGCGCTGAATTTTGCGCTTGTTCTGCGGCGAGGGCATGTTTAGTAGAGCATCGATTTATTTAGGATTCGCCTCGATGCCCCGGTGAGTTACCAGATATCCCAGGAATTCGCCTGACTTTACCGCGAAACGACATTTCGCTGGGTTGAGCTTCATGTTGTGTTGGTTAAGCTGTCGGAAGCAATCGCGTAGATGGGCTACATGATCGTTTTCTTCCAGGGATTTGACTAGCATGTCATCAATGTAAACTTCCATCGTTTTTCCGAGCTGCTCGGAAAACATCCTGTTGACGAGCCGTTGGTATGTCGCGCCGGCGTTTTTAAGTCCGAAGGGCATGACTTTGTAGCAGTAAATGCCTCGGTCCGTGATAAATGCTGTCTTTTCGCGGTCGTCGGGATGCATGAGGATTTGGTTGTAACCTGCGAAGGCTTCCATGAATGATAGTAGCTTGTTCCCTGCGGTTGCTTCTACCAATCGGTCGATGTGTGGGAGCGGGAAACTGTCCTTAGGGCAGGCTTTGTTCAGGTCGGTGAAGTCAACACAAACTCTCCACTTACCGTTCTTTTTTTTCACCACAACAGGATTTGCTAACCAATCTGGGTATCTTGCTTCGGAGATTGAGCCGATCTTTAAGAGTTTTCACACTGCGGCGTTCACAGCGTCGGCGTGGTCCCGGCCTAATTTCCTTCTCTTCTGCTTGATGGGCTTGATAGACGGGGCTACATTCAGCTCGTGGCAGATTACGTCGATGCTTACTCCGGGTAGGTCCTCAGCCGACCAGGCAAAAATGTCGATGTTATCTTTGAGAAATGAGATAAGTTTGGCCTTTGATCTCCTCGGTCAGATCGCAGCCGATCTCGATACATCGCTCGGGTCATTCATTGTCGAGGCAGATGGAGATTACAGGGTCCGAGGTAGGCTTCTTCTCCTCGCGTGCCTCCTCGATCTGTAATTGCTATAACTGTTTAGATATAGCCTTCTCTTCGCTTCAGCCAAGTTTTGACTTCTTATGGTCGGCCTCGGCTTTGGCTTCGGTGACGGGGTTGCGGAGCTTATGTGCCGCCATGTAACACATCCGTGAATTCTTCTGACTGCCCCAAATAGTCTTCACGCCATTGGGGGTCGGGAACTTGACGCAAAGATGATACGTCGAAGCGACGGCTCGCATCTGGTTTATCCACGGAGTCCCCATTATGATGTTATAGATGGTTGGCTGATCGGTGACTGAGAAGTTGACTACCTTCGTTATTCCGCCGACTTTGACTGGTAGCTAGATAGATCCGAGCGTCATAAATGTTTCTCTTGAGAAGCCGAGGACTGGCCTCGGGGTTGGAGTCACTTGAGACATATCGATATTCATCTGTCGGAGCGTTTTGCAGAATATTACGTCAATGGTGCTGCCGGTGTCAATCAGTACCCGTGATACGTCGTGGTCCCCTACGGCTAGTGTGATGACGAGGGGATCGTTGTGGGGCATGTCGAGTCCGTTCGTCTCGCTTTCCTCGAATGTGACTGTGTCGTTGGGTCGGTCAAACGGTCTTGACCAATTGCTAGATGCTTCGGCCCATCGCAGATATGCTTTGAATGTGGCTACGGTATCGGGGCAGTATGGTGAACCACCCATTATCGTGAGGACTTTTTGCCGCGTGTTGTCTCGGTCTTCGTCCGGATTTTCTCGGGTTCTCTTCGGGATTTCCGTATTCCTTGGCTCGGGGTCCCTAACGGTGTTGGTCTGCTCGGGCTGAACTGGCTCTGGCTCCAAGTCTTTGAGCATGACGTTCGTTCCGAGCTCTCCGGCTAGGAACATGGTTGCTAACTTCGCTCCGAGGCTTCGACAACGAGAGGTATGGTGTCCAAAAATCTTATGATGTTCACAGTA